TTATTGTCCATAAAAAGCCCATTTAAAAACCATATTATTCATTTTTATATTCACTCAAGTTACTAAGTAGTTAAATATAGTCTTAAAATATAGGTTAGATATGATGAATCGAATTCAAAAATGTAGTTTTTTAACAATGTAGATGTTAAATTTGTCAATATGTTTTCATTTGGCACCCAAATTATCTAATTCACTAAACTTCAGCTGTTGAATTTGGGTATTATTCAAAGAGAGTTCGAAGATACGTTCAATCGTCTGTTTTATATCAACTCCCATCAAGGAATCCATTCCCAAATCAGCTAAGGTAGATGAARGTTTAACTGAGAGTGGATCTTGAATACCTGAACAATAAAAAAAAAAAAATTGAAGCATCAAAATATGATGGGAAGATCGCCGATACTGTAATATTCTAAATTACGATACAATACATTAAATTTAAAAGAGTTAATCTTTATAGTATATTGCAGGGGTGGCAAAACGAATACGTCCAAGAAGGACTTGGATAAATACAATGATATCAAAAGTCAAAATGTTTACTAATACATTTTATAATTTTTTTTAATTCATTCATTAAAAAGAAAATATTTTATTTTATATATACCACAACATACTCGTATATATTGCTTAAAAATTAAGACCATTGGTTTCCAAAGTTTTTTTTTGCGGAAATGTCTTTTGGCAGAAACGGGAATCGTACCTWTTTCGTTTTGGCGGAAAAGGGGTATGGCGGAAACGGCCAATATTATTTTGGCAGAAACGGGTAACTCCTTTCTCCACTCATAAAGATTCAAAAAAAGTTTGAATGGGGGAAAAATATTGTCGAAAATGTCAATAGCTTAAAACAATAATAAAACATAACTCACAATTTTTAAAAACAACTATAGTAATGACTTTATGAGTCACTTACGACTAATAGATTATAATTTAATTTTCATAATTATCTACCACCGATCAAAATTCAACAAGAAAGAAGAAGCTTTTAATAATTTATGTATAAAATGATACAAATAATTACCAATGATTTCAGAAATGATCTCAGTGAGCGATTTTATATAACATAGTTTTATGGTATTTTATCGTTCATTAGTAAATATTGGATTTTTTTAACAAGATGCGAGTTGCATACGACTATGACGAGAGCCRCCAGTCGGCCACCCTTGGTATATTGTATATAAACTATCACTATTAATGGTATATGTGAAGTTACCCATAATTTCGGAAACGATCTCTGTGAGCGATTTTGATTTTGAATTTTCTGTCAGTCTCCTTTTGGATGGTATCACATGCGAAGCAACGATGGCTGAACTTTGTGTTAATAATGTATCCAACGCCGCTAGGCAAGACGATATTTTTTGTGCAAGAGTTCCATTGATTTCTTTTTCTTCGTTTCCACGAGTTAAAAGATAAGCCATACCGACGTCACCGATGCCTCCCCATTGGATAGATTGCTGTAAAATTAAAAATGTGTAAAGAAATATTGTTTCTACAACACCTATT